GAGATATTGTCAAACTTCAGTATTAGACTGCAAGGAGATATATGTTTCCTTTAAAAAATTTAAGTATATATTTATTTAAATTGTTATGCTGTTGGGAATAATATACTTTTAAATTTTAACCTTTTAATTTCGATACATTCTGATTAACGCTTTTCTAATTTCGAAAGTTTTTTATTTATATATTTTTACTCTCAAAAAAGAAAAAAAGAAAGAAATACAGATGAGTGTTTGAGCCTGAAACTGAAATACTTCTCACGTTGAAATATCTAGTTTATTTATGTGATATTTGGAATTTCACGGCAATCAAGGTTTTGGGCATATCAGTAGCCTTTATTTATTTATTTATTTATTTTTCATCCATTTAGTAGGATAAGCGAAATATCTTATGATTCCCTGTATTTCTTACGACAGATATTTGCCTACAAAATACACTTAAAAAGTTTCAGAATTCGGAATCCGCAGATACGAGCAAATACTTTCATTTAAAAAAATGTCTCGTTATGACTTCTGATGGAAACATTTCCCTCCGTAATATAGAACACTTTATAGGCGTTAAATTCAAATATGAATAGTTGGATTATTATTTATTTATTATAAGTGTTTTTGATAAAATATTATTTCTGTTACTTATTACATCTTAATAAATAAAGAAGAGCATTCAATTAAATGATGGTTTTCGTTCTACATATATTAGGGAGAGGAAACATTCACTACCACTCTTTACAATCAGTATCTGGAACATATAGATGCTTAAAATATATCTAATCAAAGCTTCTTTATCATATAAAGCAACATAAAATTCAGATTCTCGCTGCGTCGATTACAGACATGCATACTTGTCGAAACATATTTGAAATGTTTGGTTATCGCATTCAAGTTTTCAACCTATTTATTGGTTAATTAGTTAATAACTAATGAATATGAATTGAAAAGGTAAACACAAACTTAATGTAAATGTAAAACTTAATGTAAACATAAACTTAATTATCTTAATTCGAATCACATACGAATTAGGATTTTATAACAATAACTCTATTACACTTTCTAATGCTCATTTACATGACTGCTAATTAATAATTTAATTAATTATCATTTGATATGGAAAACTGTTGTCTCGTATAAAGTTTTCTCTATAACTTTTACGGTTTCAAGTAATAAAACTTTCGTTAATACAATTAATACAACAAGCTAATCAGAATTTAATCTAATTATAAGTTGCTTATTTATTCTATTTCTGCTTTTTAATTTAAATGAGCTGAAGTGTTCTCATTTTATAAGAGGAGAATTTTTTTCTCTCTATTTGATGGAAACACGAAGAAAAGAACTAAGCGAAACAGATTACCTAAGTATACTTTTCCAAGCCAAATAACTACTCTCCCTGGCATTCTAACAATGGATCTCCTATTTGCCAGCTGGATGTGCTAATCACTTAGGCTATGAAAGACGGACGGCGAATGCAATAATTCCGTACATTTTCTTGCACTTAAAGAACGACCAGGGAAAGTTACAAGACCCAGTCGAGCAAATCCAAATGGTATTATCGTTCAATATATTCTTAATTTGGATGCCACTATATTAATTTCTTAAATTTTTTTAGAAGGGGAAACGCGGAGAATCGATTGTGTTGCCCGTTAGTTTTTAAACCACGGATCTTCCAACTGTTAGCAGTGGGTGTTAAACGAAACCCTACGAAACCACGCATAGAAGAACACGATTATTCCAAACAAAATAATTTTTTTTATTCTTTCCCTTCTAATTATTCTTTTGTGAAAGACTTGAAAGATCCGAGAATGTTTTTTGGATTCGGCTTCAAAGAATACTTTTTGATTCGTTCCCATCTAGTTAAGAAGCAAAATCCAAGATACAAATCAAAAAATCAAATTAATTTTTTTTTCTTTCACACTCTGATTTGCTTTACATTTAATGACTACTATGGAAGGAAGAAATTACTCAAAAACATAAATTCTAAACTAGGCAAAATAAATAAATTCATAGAAAAGTATACTTTTCTCATTGCTAATTATTTTCATAAAATATGTTTACAGTTTAGCTTATAAAATTAAAATTTCATCTGTCATAATATTGGGTTGTTGGAAAAGTATGGAGCCTTATGCACCATTTTGTTCGATGAGAGCCTGCCATTTTCCGACGTAGTTCCTTTTTTCGATAACAGAAGAAGAACCACTCACGTAAACAACATGGGGATAGATGAAAGAGAATTTTATATCTGTTGGAGCATAGGATTTAAACCTACAGCCAAATTAGAAGTCAAAGAGCCAAAGTTCCAGAACCGAATCAACAGCTGAAAATTATTTAGATATTGTGCATTACTGTTTGAAGAATTTGAGTTCTTGAAAGCCTGTAATTAACTGTGGCTCGATTATGTCAATATTTACTTGTACATCAAAATGCTGTTTTAATATACATTTACGTTAAGTTTACCTCTTGTCCTTGTTACTGGAGTTTAGTTAGTTAGGCTTTTATTTAGCTGTAGAGGCGATAATATATAAGGGCAAGAAAAAGTTAAATAAGTATAATTAGATGGCTAATTAATTTTAAACTTACAAGCTTATTTCGAGGGAACAGAACTTCTTACACAAGGCGAATCACCTAAAATTTGCACCACAGTGATTTCTGAGATAAAATATGCTATTGATTTCACTGAATAGATGTTTAGGCAGAGGCTCATAATTTGAACTCGTACAAGGATTTTGATAATTTATTAGATTGGATATTTTTAATAAAGTTAATTTTTTTTTCTAATAGAACAATGCCAGTTGACATCAGTAGAATAAAACAAGAGGAACTGTTATATATCCGCATGGTATAGGGACTTGTGGTATCAGCTTGCCTAACACATAGTGCAAAGTGTATTATAGCTTGTCTTTAGCGATTGTTTTAAAATTGTTTGATTGGGCGACGGAGGCCTGTTCTTTAACCAGCCTGTTTATCAAATTTGACCTTGTTAGATTTTTTCCTATGAGGAAAACTAAAAGGCACTGTGTACAAAGACATACTGAGTACATTAGAAGATATGAAACGACGTATTGCAGATGCCTGTACTGAAATTTCGGCTGAAATGCTATAACGAGCGCAGAAATCTGTACACGACACATACTGGAGGCTTCTAATGTAGCTGGGTGTCATCATTTTGAACATAACTTGTGAATACTAGTATCCCCTTTCTTCTTCACAATATTCTTCATAACCATTAATTCATTCTGTTCTTCATTTTATATTTCTTAGTAATGTGCTAACTCATAGTATGAGAAAAAATAAAAATTTTAACTTGTGTTTTATCGTAAAATCTGCAACAAACACACGTACGCACACGAACAAAAAATTACACGTGCGAAAAGCCAGTAACTGCGCCAGTAAAAGGAGTAGACAACTGTCGGTATTTTGGGATATTACGATAGCTCGTACAATACTTGTAAAAAGTCTTTCAAAAAACACTATTGACATTTCAATTTCCTTTTTGATGTCAATAGGTATTGTTTTAATTGAAAAGAAAATGTAACTGTAATGTAAAATCTGAAAGCTTTCAGATTTTTTAAAATTTTATTTCATATTACTTTTACACCAATTGAAACTTGCTTCGAAGTTTATTCCTAATTTAATTTCTGTTTCTTGAAAACTTACAAACTAAAGATGGATTAGATTAGATTGAATTGTTTTGTTTACAGCGGGGAGTCTGCCTAAGAAAAGGAATGCCGGCGTGGGAAACTTTCTTAGAAAAATTAACTCGCTTCCACATAATACATAGGAAAAAGCACAAAATACAAAAGTAAATAAAGCATAAAAAGAATGTGTTTCAGGAGCAATTTCCGTCTACAAATAAAAATCTGAAAAGAATGTGTCGCTGAAACAATTCTCTTGTACTCTTTTACTAAATACACGTTCTAAACACACAGAACAAGAATGTTTGTATCTAAAACGCACAAGAATGTTTGTATTTATAATCTGCTATACTGAGAAGACAACACCTTTTGAAATCTGCAATGATTGCCAAAGTAAAAGACATTTTTTTTTTTTTTTTTTTTAAGCCCAAAAGGGACTGTTAGACTCGAAATGGGATTTTGCATGGATTCACTACAAACGGCGAATCGCTTTTCAAACTGTTGCGACTAAGTATCGCTTTCTGTATTATTTTAAAGGACGTTCAATAATGAAGAATTTCCATTTATGTATATTTTATGTATTATTTTCTTCTCATTGTGAGGAAACGACGGTGCCTGGAGCCATCTAATTTTGAATAACGTAGAACATGTTCACCCGGAAGCTCAAATTTTGAATTTTATATTTCATATTTGTAAAACATTAATGAAATTTTGATTAAAAAAACTCAAAGATTTGAAAGTGAGCAGTGGCAACACTGCACGGAAAATAAAAATTTTATCTTCAGCATGCGAGACTATGTACCGGAAATTCTAAAATTATGTTGTTTTGCTGTTTTTAACTATTTTTTTATTTTTGCTGCTGAATTGAATTTTTGTGCCATAAGTGCGGAGAACATGATCTTTAATAAATAAAATGAACACTCAAAACACTAATAATAAAAACACATAAAAAGTTTTGTTAGCGATCTTACTAAGAAAACTGATTATTGAACTGAAAAAAGACTGAAAACTGATTAGTAAAGTGAGAAAAGACTCAAAAAAATATACACTGCTCGACATTGAAAATGCAACACCAAGAAGGAGTGGTGAGAGAAATTTATGCAAATTTTAGAGTAGACGCACGTCTCTGAGTTATGCGAATGACGTGAAATGCGCAGCTCTCCGACGCACGTGAAAGAAGATATAAGGGAAGGAATGTGCAGAATGGGCAATATTTGTGTCGTTATTTCTGCCAGACGAATTATCGAAGAAAGTTGGTTTTTGTCCAGGAGGATACGTGTAATAGGAGAGAATGCCAGGCCGCCGTCAAAGAAGGCACTTCCAGCAGATGGATGATTTTACGAGGGGTATGGTGATCGGACTGAGAAGGGCGGGTTCTTTACGATACCCATCTTTCATGTTGATAACCTTAAACTTTCATGTTTTCATTTATTTATTTATTTATTTTAAAATTTCTTGTCATTCTCCATTAAGCAGAAAATTTCTGAATTTAGAAAATTCATGTTTCAAATTTCATATTCTGAATTTTCTGTGGTTAGAAAATCTGAAGACCCCATGAGAATAATCCTTTGGAGATATTAGTGCAATCTCCTCAAAACTTAATTACAATTGTCATAGACCTTGAAGAAATGTCGAAATCGCCTGTTATTCTACTAGAAACCTCATTACAAGTGTGTTCAATTTATCTTAAAGCTGTTGATAACATTACAGAAAAGGTCTGTGCTTCCGTCTGATGACATTTCTGATAAATGGGTAATCCAGTGTGAAGCCGATTTTTTCAAATACTTCAATATCTTCCAAAGGGCTGTTCGATCTCACTTTCCACAATTTTTCATGGGATATGTTGAAAGTTCTTTGCCAATAAACCATGCAACTGAAGAGTACTTGGCATTGGCAACACTAGCCTTTCAGGATTTGTTATGATATGATACGATGGGTTCTAACAATTTTAAAGGTATGTACTTCATAATTGTACTTTTTTATTTCTGGTTAGGATATTTGCCTCGATATGTTATTGCAGCGTTAATTCTTTTATTGATATATTGTAAAAGTTGTTATATTACATTAAATTTAAATGATGACGTTCTTGAAGTTGTACAACTTTAATTAGCTGATATATTAATTAAATAAACCTGAGAGCGCTATTTTTTTAAAATATGTTATTATTTAATTTGCAATAATAAATTAATATTTTCGAATAATATATTTTTTCATGGTTTTAGATACGTCCACTTAATTTACATATCCTTCTTGAATTTAAAAGATATTGTAAATTAGTTCGCAGCAATAATAATTATTCTTATTTTTTTACAATTAAAATTTAATTTACATATCCTTCTTGAATTTAAAAGATATTGTAAATTAGTTCGCAGCAATAATAATTATTCTATATTTTTTACAATTAAAATTTAATTTACATATCCTTCTTGAATTTAAAAGATATTGTAAATTAGTTCGCAGCAATAATAATTATTCTTATTTTTTTTACAATTAAAATTTAATTTACATATCCTTCTTGAATTTAAAAGATATTGTAAATTAGTTCGCAGCAATAATAATTATTCTTATTTTTTTACAATTAAAATTTAATTTACATATCCTTCTTGAATTTAAAAGATATTGTAAATTAGTTCGCAGCAATAATAATTATTCTTATTTTTTTACAATTAAAATTTAATTTACATATCCTTCTTGAATTTAAAAGATATTGTAAATTAGTTCGCCAGCAATAATAATTATTCTTATTTTTTTACAATTAAAATTTAATTTTTTTTACATATCCTTCTTGAATTTAAAAGATATTGTAAATTAGTTCGCAGCAAATAATAATTATTCTTATTTTTTTACAATTAAAATTTAATTTACATATCCTTCTTGAATTTAAAAGATATTGTAAATTAGTTCGCAGCAATAATAATTATTCTTATTTTTTTTACAATTAAAATTTAATTACATATCCTTCTTGAATTTAAAAGATATTGTAAATTAGTTCGCAGCAATAATAATTATTCTTATTTTTTTACAATTAAAATTTAATTTACATATCCTTCTTGAATTTAAAAGATATTGTAAATTAGTTCGCAGCAATAATAATTATTCTTATTTTTTTACAATTAAAATTTAATTTACATATCCTTCTTGAATTTAAAAGATATTGTAAATTAGTTCGCAGCAATAATAATTATTCTTATTTTTTTACAATTAAAATTTAATTTACATATCCTTCTTGAATTTAAAAGATATTGTAAATTAGTTCGCAGCAATAATAATTATTCTTATTTTTTTACAATTAAAATTTAATTTACATATCCTTCTTGAATTTAAAAGATATTGTAAATTAGTTCGCAGCAATAATAATTATTCTTATTTTTTTACAATTAAAATTTAATTTACATATCGTTCTTGAATTTAAAAGATATTGTAAATTAGTTCGCAGCAATAATATTATTCTTATTTTTTTACAATTAAAATTTAATTACATATCCTTCTTGAATTTAAAGATATTGTAAATTAGTTCGCAAGCAATAATAATTATTCTTATTTTTTTACAATTAAAATTTAATTTACATATCCTTCTTGAATTTAAAAGATATTGTAAATTAGTTCGCAGCAATAATAATTATTCTTATTTTTTACAATTAAAATTTAATTTACATATCCTTCTTGAATTTAAAAGATATTGTAAATTAGTTCGCAGCAATAATAATTATTCTTATTTTTTTACAATTAAAATTTAATTTACATATCCTTCTTGAATTAAAAGATATTGTAATTAGTTCGCAGCAATAATAATTATTCTTATTTTTTTACAATTAAAATTTAATTGAATATTAGCGTTATACCAATAGAGAATATTTCTTAAACTCAAATTTCATTCCTTGCAGCAATGGCGCATTAGAATTATTAAAATTTAATTTAATTTAACTATATTCTTGTGAAACAATTTTGTTGTAATTTTGTGCGGATTCTGTTGAAGTATAATAAAAGGAATTTGAATAACTCATCTACTGTTGGAATAATAAAGCCGAAAATGTTCGTGATTATAATTTCGAACAACGGCCCATTAGCGGCTGAGGTTATGAACTCTGGTAGTTCGGTCCAACTTTCGAATCCCGGGGCATGAACTGCCTGCATGGGTATTTTCGTGGTTTTCCACATGTGTATCGTGTATGCAGTATATTGGGGATGCATACGTAAATAAAGCGAGCCCGGCCCGCGCAAAACCGCTGGACACTGGTAGTTCTGCCCAACTTTTGAATCCCGTGGAACGGGCTGGTTCCATGGGTGTTTTCGGGAATTTAGGCATGTCTATCGTGTATTCAGTATCTTCTGGATGGATATGTGAAGAAAGCGGGCGCAGCCCGCGCAAAGTGCTGAAAACTGGTAGTTCGGTTCAACTTTCGAATCCCGGCAAACGGCTGACTGCATGGGTGTTTCGAGATTTTCCGCATTTCTAACGTTTATGAAGATAAAGCGGCCGCAGCCCGCTCAAAATTGCTTAACACTGGTAGTTCGGTTTAACTTACGAATCCCGGCGAGCGGACTGGCTGCATGGGTGTTTTCGTGATTTTACGCATGTGTATCGTGTATGGAGTATCTTCTGGATGAATACATGAATAAAGCGGGCGCAGCCCGCGCAAAATTGCTCACAACTGGTAGTTCGGTCCAACTTTCGAATCCCGGCAAGCGGACTGACTGCATGGGTATTTTCGAGATTTTCTGCATTTCTGCATTCAGCCCGCGCAAAATCGCTGAACATTGGTATTTCGGTCCAACTTTCGAATCCCGGGGAGCGGGCTGTTTGCATTGGTGTTTTCGTGATTTTCGCATGTGTAATGTATATCTTTTCGAAGCATACATGAATAAAGCGGGCACAGCCCGCTCAAAACCGCTGAACACTGGTAGTTCGGTCCAACTTTCGAATCCCAGCGAACGGGCTGGCTCCATGTGTGTTTTCTTGATTTTACGCATATGTATCGTGTATGCAGTATGTTCTGGATGCATAAGTGAGTAAAGCGGGCATAGCCCACGCAAAACCGCTGAACACTGGTAGTTCGGTCCAACTTTCGAATCCTGGCGAGCTGGCTGGCTGCATGTGTGTTTTCGGGATTTTCCGCATGTGTTAACATGTATGCAGTAAATTTTGCATGCATACGTTAATGAAGCGGGAGCAGCCACGGTAAAATGGCTGTACACTGGTAGTTCGGTTCAGCTTTCGAATACCACGAAGGCATCCATCCCCTGAGGTAGCGGGCTTCAGCCCGCTAGATGTACTTATTATCTTTAATAAACCATAATTCGAGACCAAATATCTACGAAATACTTCACACCTTTACGAGGAAAAAAAATTACGCGAAGATGTTCTACACTGGAGATGGACGATCCGCTCTCAAACTGATTTAAAAAGCCGATTTACTTTAGGGAGTGAGCAAACGGTGGTAACTTGTGACCTAAAATGTAATAATTCAGGGAAGTATCTCTATAAAACAATCAAAACATTTATTAAATTTACCATTAACGTAAAGTAAAGCAAAAGAAACAAAAAGAGGTGGTCAGCAACTGCTGATGTGCAACCCACAGCAAGCCAGTACTGGGCTTTTCTAGAACAGAAACAATGCAGCCACATCGGCGCGGCTATTTGTAATACCAATAAGCAGCTTGGTCTCGCAGCTTGTAATCAGCTGCAGAGAGAAATAAGGCAGCGCCCGTAAGTGACACTTCACTATCAGGTACAACTCCCATGCAGCACTCCACCAAACAATGATTCAACAAAACGGAGAAATATTTCCTTCGAGAGCTCTTGTTAGATGTATGCCAGATACAAGTACATGTATCACAAATGCAAGTACACGTGTCTATGGGTTAGAAGGATCACCTGACCCAGTAGGTCTTTTACTGGCCACTTACAGCTACCACTTATTTACCTCAAGCGACCTGCAATATGGACTCTCTTAAGAAATTTGTTATCAAAAACCGAGCATCAGTTAAGATCATCTGCAATACAACAAACAGTATTTCAACTATGGCGCAAGATATTTTTCAAAGAGAATTCAGACGCCATTGAAGTTCAGAAGTGATAATTGCAATACAAGTGCTAAAGAAGTATGCAAAGAACTTTAAATCATATTTTAATAACTGACATAGGCATTTAACTATTAAACATCATAATTAAAATTAAATAATTAAAAAAATAATTAAATATAACATGCGCACTCTGAAACATCATTTTAAATATTTAAATATAATTTTACTTATAAATGTGTAAGTGAAATTTTATTTAAATGATCATAATTCATAATTTCTGTATACTTTTAATGTTTAATTATGTTTTAAGTGTTTTGTTTAGTTATATTGCTATGCTTATTTAGTTATGTTTTAAGTTCATTGTATTTTTATATATATATTTATTTATTTATGCTATATACTGTATACACCGTAACATACATTTTATTGCCATACGTATAATATTGGATATTACTTTGTAAACGACAAAAAAAAAAAAAAAACTATTGTATATGAAACAGAATTTCTGCTACCTCCCTACTTATGAATAAATTTCTTGCTAATATATTCTTGATAAAGCATCCTTAACCTCCCTACTTATTAATAAATTTCTTGCTAATATATTCTTGATAAAGCATCCTTAGAGAACTCTTAGGACGTGTTACTATGTCCAGATAGGGAAGACGTGGGATAATACCTGCTATCCCCTGATAGACATCAGGTATCCCTATCTTACGTCCCCTGACACTCGCCAGAAGTGTGCCAGGAAAATTCGATTCCCGTTTTAAGGGAAAAAGGAATGTTTCTCCTTTCATGTCAAAAGTGAGTTAAATTTAAGATTTTAAGCAATCTCTAAACTACGAAATCCATGCAGGAAGTTAGCGATTGAATCGATTTTCCAGATTACACTTCTAGTTCGATTCTTTTCGCTATTTCCTCCATCTTCGCTCA